CTGCTTCCATAGTTTCCAAGTTTCTATAGATATTTCTACACATTTCTGCAATAATGCAATATTTACATTGTATATTCAATTTATCTTTAACTATTGTAACTATTACCAAGTGTCCATTTTCCATCTCTTCAATGATCCTTATGTTTGCATGTCCATGCCACACATCCTTCTCTGTTGATACATATGCTGTCCTTTCCTGTTTCTTCATTCGACATAATATGTGTTTCTTCCTCTCAGTGCTTTCATTCAAACTTCTCTTTTCTTTATACACCTCAGCTCCGTCATTCTGAAACTTAACACATTATCGATGATCATTGACTTTCACCACAGATATAAATATTTATTTAGATCAGGAGAAAAACATACCTTTAAATCTCACTGTATTCTCTATACTTATAGTTGTTATAACAGGCCATCACCTAAATTAATTTTATTCCTTTTTGTTTGTCTAAATGGCCTCCCTTTTATGAATTTGGTTTGACCATCAAAGATTTCTATGTTGTATGTCATATGGTTAGCTGATCTAATCCAGTACACATATCATAACTTACATATTTGTATTGCTGCTTCAATTTTTTCTACCTATATAATATAATTCTTGGCACTTAATGGCTCTACGTTGGTGATATTCCATGAGTACAATATTTTTCTAGTGTTGACCGAAAAGTTCCGAATGTTTCCGATTCCATTAAATATTACTTTTCAACTTTAATATCTAATTATTTATTAATTTTTAAATTTTTATTATAAATTTATGGCTCAAGCAATTTCTTAGTAACATTAAATTTAATAATTTTTTGTAGAATCGTAATTATAGCTACTCTTTTATAATATAAAGGAATATTTCATATCGCATTAAAAGGAATATTTCATCTATCATTGTGCGATAAATATTTCCTCACTGATTTGATATTAAGAAATGTGTTTATGATTGTTTTATATATGGCAGGTACGTCAGACATAATTCTTAAACTCATTACTTTAAATTATTAAAGGCACGTCACTGGTGATATTACCTAGCCTGGTAATATCGACTCTTGATCTTGCTCAAAGAATTTCGATTATTTAGTTATCCTCAGCTGGTAACGTCTCTTCGTTTTCATCTGGATACGTTTTCGAATCATCTCGATTGTTTGTTCACTTTACTGCTTCTGTTTGATTTTTTTGTTATTAGAGTTTCGAACGAGTTAATCGACGAAGTATCTTCTTATTGTTTTAGTGTATTGATACAACGAGGATGACTAGTTTGTTTGGAGTAGATGACGAATGAGTTAACGATGATTTGAAGATAACACTGCAATCGAAAGTCGGATTGAACCGTGGCATTAAGACAACATTTATTCTCTGTCAGTGAATGCAAACGTCTCGTGGAAAATTCCTCTATTTACTCTATAAGAAACTGCCCGAGATCTTTAACCGAGGTATATTGACAAGGTTTAAATTATCGAAATTAAGACAATTTCTTTTAAAAAAGTGATTCGTACAAGCCCTTTGAGATATTTACACGATTGTACAATAATGTTCAAGGAAGTGACTATATCTTATCGCTCAGTAGGAAAAACAGTTTTTTATTCTTTTAAAGTGTATGTACATATTTACACTTTGGAGTTTTTCAATAATTGCGATTCCGTGGCAAATAAGTTATCCTCTAATGATATTTATGAAACGCTCTATATCCGTGTGAGTAAATAACATCCTCCTTGTCAGCGTCTAATGTAAATCAACCCCTGATTAGACGTTGAAAACTCACTTTTTATATATACTCACATTACAAATTAATTGAAAACACGTTTAATGCAATAGGAGCAGTATAATCACGAAGAAACATCGCTTTTGCATCGAATCGATGCCACTAAATATCAAGTTCCGATCAAAGGGAAATAAATGACTGCCCATAGAACGAGAAGAACCAGTAGAACCACCATAAGCTTAGAACGGAAGTTGTCCCATCCGACTAAGATATATTTCTGTGCTCTTTCCACATCCTCTATATCCAAAGAAGACTAAAACATAAGGAAATTTATAAGAAATTAATAAAACAACGTACGAACACGAATATCCAGTTTCTTACATCATCATTGATATCTTCGTCTTCTTGAAGCCTTTGGGTACTTGAATTTTGACTCATTTGTACAGCTTTATTCTGGGTGCTCTTCGCTTTACTCTGGCCAGTCTTCGAAATAGATTTCTTGTTGGTCCCCGGTGATTTTGAGGTTTCAGGGTAATCAAAAGGTGTTAATCTGATAGCTACTATATTTTCCGTACCTCGTAATTTATTTGACTGCTTGATCTTCGTCTCCGTAGCTTCTTTCCTCGTTGATTCATTCACTGCTGCATTTTCCTTTGTCGTGTCGTTTTCTGAAGGCATTCATTAGAAAATTAACTAATTGGAGAAAGAAGGTTAAGACGTCTCTCGAAGAAAATCATAAAAGATACGTGGAAGGATTTTAGGAGATCGTTGAAAAATTAAAAAGAAGATTCTTCGAGGGAGTATTCTCGACGTACCTTCGCCAGAATCATTCTGTCGTGAAACTCCACCTCGAAAATTTCGAATGTGAGACAGGAAGCTCTCCAAGTAGCGCGGAAACGTCTTCTCTTTTTCTTGCTTCAGATTGCCGGCTAGAAATTCCGTCAGAGCATCTAGCACGGGAGTCGAGGTCTAAGTCGCTACAAACGTCAAGACCAATTTGCAGACGTTGAACTTTGTTCCTGGTTGTCGTGCAATGATCCTCGGACTATCTTTTATGCTGCCAAAGAAACGAAGATTAGATAATGACATTTAATAATGCTTCTTAAGTTAGATATTCATCCAGTTTATTGCAACACTCGAGAGTGTAAAAATAATCTTGATGCGATGAAGTCCACTGATATCGGCATCGATATATATTAATGAAACAGGATATTAGATAATTTAACCTCTGGTGATGAGAAGATTCTAAAAAGCTTGATTAAAACATGGAAAAAGAAAAAACTAATAAACGGTTTCTACCTTCGTAAACATCATACCAGAGATTCTACAGACCTCGCATGACTCAGATAACTTGGTACAAGCATAAAACGTTACTTGCAAGGCCGATCGATTCAGGTGCGAAACGCTGCCTCAAGATCACGAGGCATTAACGGTGTGTATCGTCCTTCGCCTTTTTTCTCGTGTCTCGAAATCCTCTTGTCAAATTCTGACCACGTAGAAACACAGATTCCGCCGCTAGAGCGTCATATATTCGCAGATAACTTCAAGCAGAATACCCGATAACTTTCGCATCCATCATCTTTGACAGGAAACCATTATCAGCGTACACAATACTCAAGAGGGGGCGATAATTTGCATTACGTGTGTCCTAATTGTTGTCTGTGGCGGTTTTTGAGATTAAAGATTAAATCTGCGATGACGTAGCCTTTGTGTATTTCTTTTCTTCGACGTTACAAATCTACTTTAGCATTATCCGATTAAATTGTAATGGAAGAGAGGTTCACGTACATGTTCGGATTGTATGTTCATTCGATTTGGATATCAGATAAGATTTTGATAATTATATAAATTTTGGCACGTGATCGAGATAAAACGACTCTGAATGCGTTTAAGGTAGTCAGGTTTATTTATTCATTTTGTACAAATACTTGGTAAAAAAAAGGAAGAAAGTGATTAATATTATATATACTATTTATCAAATATCTGATACACGATGCTAGACGTGTCATAATACAATCACGGTTTTATTGTATCATCTGTTAAAAATTTGGTCAGAGGAAGACACCCAATCTGAATATTGCAGGGACTAGCATTATCTTAATTTAATTCTCGCTTCAACGACACTTTTGTACATATTTACAAAAGTCTCTACCTTTTTCTACATGCAATGCCTCAACACTGGGAATATCTTCGTCGTCTAACCGATGAAAGCGAGAATAATCGAGCAAATACAAGCCACGAGATATTCGTGACTTTACGCAATGCGAGAATTCAAACTCTGAGAATTTCTAAAACTTTCTTTCCACAGTAAAGTACATGCTTCCTACATTTCCATTCCACTTATCAAGAAAAATACAGATGTACCAACAAGTTGAAGATGTATCAACAAGCACTAACTTTGTGCAAGATATTACTCATTGCTTCACTCAAGGACGGACTCATCGGTGGAAAATGGAAAGTTCAACGAAAAATATTACAACGCATGAAACAGCCAGAAAGTCAGTTTTCAGTGACAAAATCGTCCTTGCTTTTCTTCATCTTGAAATACTTTCTTCCTCTTGTCGCATTGACAGCAAAAAGTCATCTGCTTCATTCAGTTCCAAGTCATCTGCTTCATTTAATCTTCGCAACTTTCTCGTAGCTTACTAAACTTTTCACAAGACCTGATATTGAACGAGGAACGTGTAGATGATTACCCAGAGAACCAAAGCAACGATCACGGAGATCAAGAAGATGGTCTTCAGAAAATGCCAAGGACTTTCCATCCGCAACTCCGCACGGTTGGACCAGCTCTTACAACCACCGTTCTTACAAGGAATACTCCCAGGTTGCAGAGGTGTTGAGGTCGCAACGCTGTTCGTCGGAGGCGTCGCTTTCACCTCTCCCAATTCCGTTTCATCCGCACTCTGGATATCTGTTTTCGTCAGCTCCACTCTCGACGGACTCTCCATCTGAAATTACAAAAGACGACAGTGATCAAGAAATTCCTAAAAGCCTGTGGCTTCTGTTTGTCGTCGTGGATATTATTACAGCGATAATGTTGCAACAGTTGCGACCTTAACCCATCAGCTAGAACTCTGCGTTGCAAATTGCCAATACTTATATAAGTTAAACGACAATACAGTCTCATGCAAAAGAAGAAATGAACGAAATCATAAGAATTTTTCCAAAAGTATGTCACCTCTTTAACGATCAGTTGGTCATTTTAATCGGTGGTCCAAATCGACTGACCAACGAAAGACTTGATTTCAGACTTTATTATCAATGACGAATCTAGAAATGAAAAAAAGTGAGAAAAGAAATAATATTATTTCGATCATGGACTTTTTCAGTATTATGCGGTTTCGAATCCGAGGTATAAAGTCAGGTTACACCAGACAGGCGACCGCAATTTCCTATTTGTCAAACGGGAGACATGAAAACAGCCTGTAGTCCAACTTGGATCGCGTTGAAATATTTTTAACCTCGCATAACGGTCCGACGAAATGTATGCTAATCGATCTCTCCTTCTTGTAAAGAGTTTGGAAAAGGAAAGCAGCGAAAAAAAGATTGAACGGTGTTTATAAACATTCGGCGCGAGTAGACGCCACGAGCAGAATTTGTAATAAATTGAACGAACGTGAAATGCAACCAGCTTGACGATACAGCCATTCCAAATTATCGATTACTTCGCAATCGTACTTGATCATGCGGAGGAACGTGTGCACCATGTTTGCAATGATTCTTATCAGCAGTCTGCGACATTCCTTGCTTCCTCGAGCTTCCCATTTTCGCGCGAAAAAGAGGAAACGAGGAGGAGAATATGATTTTTCCCTAAGAGTACTCCTCTAATCGTAAGTACAAGAGTTACGTAATTTAAGAGAAAGATAAGAGAGGAATTCGAAAGGTGGGATGTCATTTGTATAAATCATAATCGATCGATCGAAGGCCACAGGTGAACGCGCTGGAATATCACAAAAGTGAAAGAGAATGGAGTGGGGACATTACATGCACTTCTGGAATCCGAATCTTGGGGGGGAATAGATCTTGTTCGGGCTTTGGTCGAGTCCTATACACCAAGTCCATCGTGCTGATGACCTGGTTCAGGTACGGATAATCCCATATGGATCCGGGGGATGGTACAACCACCATCTGCCAACCATATTATTAGAAGGTTAAAATTATCGAATTTAAGTCTTGAAAACGCTACTGCAGTACAATAACGGAATACAATAGAATACCGTAGAAACTTTCCTTACAGTAATGGTTTACCGCCATAGAAGGTTTGGGGTCGAAATTATAAATTATCTAGTGATATTTTCTTTTATGAAAGTCTAATCGGTATAATTATCGGCAATTAGAAACGAGAATTTCCTTAGACTTCTTTCTTTTTCCTAAGTAATACCGCGAATTTCCGTCTTCGAATAGTTTCGCGCAATGGCGGCAACTTTCACTGGATTCTACACCAATCGGGTCCTCGACCGAGTGAACGAGATAGAAATGAATGGAATAGAATACAAATGTTGCATTTTTAAAGCAGACACGAAAGATCACGCTAGATCAGCTTAAAGATTTGTGAACTTCGTCGGGTTTTATCGAAATGATCGTATCGGATCGCGTTGAACGTATAAATGTGTTACGCGTTTATGTATTTATTGCATCAGTCCCAAGATGGATTACTCGTAGTTAACATTTCTCATAGGAAGACTAGCTTAAAATCTACGATGAACGTAAAAGATTCCGTCACTGAAGATTGGAAAGAAGGTGAAATCGTTCACGAAAAAGAATCACAATGAAATAGCACACTCACATTGGTAAACACGTATCCATATTTCCTGGTATGGTAATTTCCATCGCTGTTCATATTTCTAAGCGATTAGACAGTGTTGGTACATTTTTTAGCGAATTGCAAATTACTGACAAAAATCCGGGCTAATCATGCTATCGGAATTTGGAATTAATTGACATGTAATTGTTAAACAAGGGACACGCGAATTTTATATAACTTATTTGCCATTAGACGCTTAGAAAGGTAGTAGTTTATTCGCGTACGACATCGAAGGAACTGAGCAGTTAGGCCAAGCGGGGCCCATTATCAACTTTTATCAGTCTCGAGCTGGGAGACCCGACCCCTGATCTTTCATTATCGAATCATTACTCTCGTGTAAATGTCGTCCAAACGTTTCTAATTGACTCATAAATCGTTTAGAGGAAGTTCGACAATTTTCGTTCTCTATTCTTTTCCACATGGTGTTAAACCTCATAATAAATTATAATTACAGATCAATTCTGTCTGCAATCTTATAAAATGATAATTCTATACAAATTTAAATCACAATTTAGCGTTCTTCTTTATAGTATTTGGCCTCTTTTATTCATCGGCATATTGAAATTGACTAATCTCTTTCAGTGGCACCAAGATATCGAATTTTAAATACCTCGAAGATTGAGAGGCGCTAAGAAATTAAAACATTACGATACGCCTATCAGTGTGGAATACGTGTGCAATGATCACTGTGCAATGATCTCCGGGAATACAATTCTTCAATCACGAGGAATGTAAGGTCGAGAATTTAAACGAAACGGATTCCACATTACTGAACTACGTATGAGAATTGTTATGCAGGGAAATGCCGGATGCACCGACAATAATGATAAGTAGGATACCTTGCGTAATCTGGCGAGACTCATGTTTTCAGTAGGTTGTCACGAACTTTGTAGGAGAAAATCACGGAAGAAACTGAAGAACATCTTACAGAGTGAATATAAAAATTGATCTCTTTTTTGAGATCGATCACATCGAAATTTTCACATCAAAATTATGCAAACATATTGCTCAATGAATAGCAGGAACAGTTTGAAGTTCGTCGACGAATAATTCACATTTTGTTAACTTTTTTCCTTTCTTCTTTTTCGTTTAACCTCTGGTCGATTTCTCGTATTTTCAATTGGTTAATCGTGGTTCGACGAACTCTGGTGACTAATTAGGAACGAGATTTCAAGAAGGTGAAAGTATGGAAAGATGGCGCGTAGAAGAATCGACGAACGAAAGTATGCAGCTAGTTTTCGAAGAGGCTCAAAGCTATCGTTCAAACGACCAACAAATACGATTGTTGATGCTTGATGTTTTTGTAGATCGTGAATATAGTTATTTTGTCAGTGTGATTAATTGCGACTTGGGTCATATCGTTGGGAAACGTTGTAAAATAACAGAAAAACAGTCATAAAATTATACCGACATATTTTCCTTGCGGTGAAACGTGCGGTGATTGCCACTTTACACATCCGCTATTACATGACGTATATTCAAAGTAGTTTACATGAAAAACATGTTAAAAAGCCACGTCATAAATACGATATGTTTAAAAAGACATTACACCTTTGTATAATTATATATGCTTATATTAGCCTTGAATTTCGATAGTAAATACGTAGCTGGTGATGAGAAATTTATTTGCGTAAATTTGATTAAAAATCTTTTTTAGATTTGCTTGTTTGATGTGTCTAAAAAAAAAAAAAAAATATTATCAGGAGATCGCAAAGATCAAATCAAGGGAAACTAGTTTCCATTGGACACGTGTCTTCACCTGTTGTAGATGCCAAGTATGCTGAAAGAAACTCTTGAAGCACCTCATGCTGGCTCTGACATTCTCCTGCGTTTACCAATCATCGCATTATCACGATCATCCAATCTTCTGGTTATTACCAGCTCATCTTTCTTAATTCACTTTATTATTCGAGAATCATCCTTGATCAGGCACATGCATACCTTTATATAACACTTTAGTTACCGATTTAGGTCACTCACTTTATTACCGATTATGTTCATAGTTGCAGTGCGAAATGGAAAACTTTAAATTCTTAACACTTGGCTTTACATCAGGGTTTAATCACTGTTGCAGTCGCATCTTTTTTCTTGAGTCGTTAACGTTAAGTAAAATATCTTAATTGATAATATGTCGAACGCAATTAAGAGTATTTTAAACAATACTGAGAGAGACAGAGTATAGAATGCAGTCGCATCTATACGAGCGATTGGCAGGCGAAAGTTTTGAAGCGTACGCGTCGATGCGCGCTCGGCAACTAATGAAGTTTGTACCGATAGCGTAGTTGTACGTGACGGGTAACGTGGTCTGTTAAAACCTATCCATCGTATGCTTGACGCCAGTAAGACACAGAGAACGTTTTTCCACACAACAAGCAGAGATATCGAGGTTGATATAAATTATTCAAGATGTCAGTTTTCGTCGGGCTCATTTGTGCAATTCTTGTTAAACCTTGCAAAAATATTCAAACATTTTAAAATTAGTAATGAACAAAATGGAAATAATGGAAATAAAGTGCACGTTTTACTTATTACTAGATCGGGTACAGATTCATAAAATCGTGCGATATTTATACCAGGATGGTATAATTTATGCGTAGAAATTTTAGAGTAAAACATAATTAATCGAATAACTTAATTTTATTTTAACTATGCAAACGTATGCACATTATTTATAATTTCGAATAAATTATAATACTAAAGAGAGAAACAGTCAAACATACGTAATTAAAAATAACACTAAACGATGATTATTTTTTAATTTCAAAAGTAGTGAATGTAGATTCAGATATTTCTTTCTCATTTTTGAACACTGCTTCGTCTATAGCTGATTCCGGACTTCCAGTAGTGCGTAGCCAATTTTTCCTGCAATGAAAGTATATTTAATTAGAACAGTCCAATAATGTCTATTAAAATTGTTTAACATGATTAACTTACATCTCTTCCACTTTACTTTTTTCTCCTTCAAGGCGGCCAACAACTGTACCTTTATCGGTGTTCATACACCATCCCTTTAAACCTAATTCGGTACCACGTTTTTGGGTATACTATATTAACGAAAACAATGAATTGTTTAAAATTATTTTGAATCGGATATAGGGAATTAATTTACCGATTTACGTATAGAAACATTAATGCATAAATACATATTACATTTATGATGAAAAATATTGAAAGTTATTTTTTTTATTTTAGAATTCAAAAATTGTTAATAATTTTGATTTTCATTTTAACACGTCGATATATACAAATATACATGTGTATACATATATATACACATATATGAGACTCATAACTACGCAGTAACTTTTTCACCTGCCAGATGTCACTTCTGTATCAAACAAGGCGTAGAACTTGCAACGTTTCCTCGTGATTTACGTTAGTTATTAACTGTTGATTTGTGTGATACGTTACTTACCTTTCTAAAGAATACTCCTTTAAAAAGGAAAATCGCAAGATTAGTATCATCGTGATTCTGTTATAAGAAAATGGTCGCTTACCTTGTACTCTTCCAAACACCTCGAAATCAACACCGACTAATTTTGACATTGTTGGATTTATATTTTGCGACGTTACCTCAAAGAACAATGGTAATACAACAAGAAGAGAGACAACGATTTTAAGGTACAACTTGGTTAACATTCAATAATTATTTGAAGAAAAATCTGAATGCATGTATGTCGATTCGTGATGCGGTAATAGACTAGATGTCGCTAGTCGAGATTCTATCAGCTGTTCCGGCTGGATAATAGCGGTATCCTTGGAAACCACTCTTGATGCGTTTTAAAGAGAATTAAACTTAATTTGAATTTTAAGTAGGGATGATATAGACGCAATTCATATTTTTTAATCTATATTACATCAAATTTAAATGAATTTTGACCAACATTAAAAATATTTTATTCGATAAAATGAACTGGACATTAACATAAAGAAGGTAGATAATTTTTTATCATATATATTTAAATATTTACAAAAGTGGAAATTGCTAATGTGTTATGTGATTATTTACATTTCAGGAATTAAATTGTCTGACTTGTAAGCAGTAGATAAAATATTCCCAGAATTAATTAACTTGTTCGTTAAACGGCACATGTACTAATAAGAATTCATTGATAATAGCTTAATCAGTAGTTTATTTGAATTTAAAAATCAAATTTTATTCGCACATGTATATCGGTAATCGCACCTCGTATCTGTACTTGTATTGGTCGATGTTTCGAAGCGCGCGCACGAACAGCAGCAAAAAAGTCGCGAAGTATAGAGGCGTATAAGTCGTTCCTACCGTGGTGGCTACGGCCAGTCTCAAGCAACAGCTAATACGTGGTGGATGTGTTTATACGGTCTTTTCCTTTCGTACATGCGATTATTCTTAACGAAAGGCTTTTTGCAAAGCCGGTAATCGATTATCGAGTTGTCAATATGTGCTATGTACCGCGTTCTACGTGTAACTGTCGCCTTGTCCGTCTTTAAAACATTTTATATACGACATTGCTGCATCCACGGGATTTTGCGCTATGATAAATGATCACGTAGACTCGAATGCATGTCGTCTCAATAAAAACATTCGCGGAATTTGATCAACAAGATAGTTTTTTCAACGCAAAGTCGTCGATCATCGTCTCGAATCGATATAAACATCGTAGAAACGCGATAATTTTTTGTGTCTGTGTACGAACACGCGAAATATCAGTCCCGTGTCAGTCGATAAGGTTAGGCTGGCGTATTTATGCAACGAAAATTCGTGTCGTCGGCGTACGGGCATGCGATGCGGCTCTGACAGCTCGTTTTATCGTCTTTGCTATACATTGGTTACACGTCACAGGACGGAACACTGTGTGCAGTGCTTAAGGGTAACGCCGGATTCGTCGTCGTCGGTGACGGCTTTGACAGCGCATCGTTCGAAGTGAGGTTAATTCAGGAGGTGTGTCGTTGTGCGTGTGCGTGGTGTGCACCGTGGAACAACACGACGATAATACCATGACGGCGATGTTAGTATCTGTGGCGGAACTGTCGAACATTTTCTTCGTACTCGCAGTCTCGATATGCTTCTGCGGAGTCTTATTGTTTATCATCAGGTATTTATACCACTACATATTGCGTTGTTTTTTCCTTAAGTTGTGCGTGTCGTTCGAGCACGCTGCGTAATTTTCGTCGATGCATGCGTTTTCTTAAAGTCTTTCAAAAAATTTCCTTCGCAACCATTGATACGAGTCGACTGTCCCGTATTTTCTTCTTTATTTTGGCACTCCTGCGGAGAGAAACTAAACAGCGCTTCGGTTCCTCTTTACACAGATGAGGCTGCGAACGTTCGGAGACGTCAGAATAAGTAGGATAATTGGATATACGTATACAGGATTAAATTTTCAGTACCGTTCTATAAACATTTACTCGTTTTTTCAGCCAAATCAATCCTTTCATACTGTATCTTTGACTTTTGAACTTGTATCAGAAACCTTGAAAAATAACCTTGCCGACGTAAATTTCTGCGCATAGGATATAAAAAATAAACTCCCTAGCTTTCCCCATATCCATTATATGCTAGTACTGAAAAACGTTTTATGACTAACTGTAAACCTTTTATGTATGAATCATGCGACTGCAGTTATAGTTATCAAGCCGGCAAATACTTGATACCATTGTAAAGTGCACATCACTCGAGCAATCAGTATGAATTAAATTATCGATAATGAATCGCGTTAGACCGAAAAAAATCGTATTTTTCCATACACGAATGTTTATCGTTTCGTTTCAAGAAATAAATCCTCAAATTATTCGTGAAGTTGCTCGCAAAATTACTCGTGAAATTATTTGAAGAATTACTAATTATATCATGATTAATTTCCGAGAAATAGAATTTTATGTTGGACTTGGTGTGAGGAAAAAAAGAAAAGAGGAGGAAGAAAAAAGGAAACATCCATCGTTCTCTGTCCCGTTGCAACAGGATCATCAACCCGTGAATAAATTGAAAGACAAACAGAGGCGAACTGGAGGCAAGAAAGCTTCGTACTTTAGCACCTCGGAATAGATATGCCACTGGTGTCCTCTTTATTACACCGTGAAATGCACCACGAGTTAATAACAATATTTATGTAAAGATTAGCGATGCATAGCGAAGTAACTAGAATCCTCATTTCGATTGGCCGATTGCATAATGCTTGTCGATATTGCAAACCACCGTATCCGCTAATTTCGCGGCATTTTTGTACCGTGACCTGATCAGAATTTATTCCACGAAATACGTGTCTCGCTAAAGTTGTCCTAACTGCCTTGGTAACGGAATTATATCCCGATTTTTGGTTTTGATGAAAAATGTCAAGGTTAGCTCTGGTTCTTTTAATACTCCAAGGTGAGATCAATGGAATGGCCGATATTTCGCGAGATGATCGTAAAAACGGATGATAAATTGGCACTTTTAATTTAGCAGTAAAAGTATGTCATTGGTAGGAGGACAGGATGAAGAACAGCTGTTCGAACGTAGAAAATGGCGAAGGTCTGACTTCTACGCACGGAGGGTTGATGGGTAACGAGTATGGCGATAGGGTAGTTTAATTCCACTCGAAACGCGGGGTAATTTGGGTATTTCTGAGAAAAATCGACTGACCTTGAATCGGACGAAGTTAACGACCGACGAAAAAGTACGATTCCGCTATAAAGTTTCTCCTGCCAAAGCAAGCAACTTTCTTATATCTTCGAAGAAACGAATCTTCGAAGGACGTCAAAGTCGAACTTTTTTTTTCTCCAAATATTAGTTTAAATTGTGTAATTTAGAGATGAAGATCCGAGGAGCAGAAATGGATATCATGTTTAAACTCGGCGAGTCGTCTTGGCTGTTGAGCCTTATTGAAAATTCATTACTCACGGACATAATGCAATTAGGTAATCTATAACCAAATCAGATGCATTCTATAAATAATTCCATGGCTTCGACAAAGCAACAGCGGAAAGACTGGAATATGTTAATAAGTAACAACTTTTTAAATTTATTTCGTTAATTTTAGAGCGAGAATCGGATCTGGGCGATAATGGATAGCCCTCAAGGTCGTCAAAGAATCATCCTACCTCGTCGAGGAACGCAAGATCTGATTGTCGAGGGCAGGAGGTCTCCGATCATTACCATGAGTCAGATCCCCGTTTACCTCCGTGAAATATTTTCGAGTAATCCAGCGAATCGTTCGGACGATGGTAATCCGAGGTCGTTTTATGGCATTCAAATTGTCTTACAACATTACCATTCTTCTCGGTTTCCTCTGATCAAATAGTAAAGGTCTTCGAACGTTGGATATTGTGCAATCGTGTATCCTAATTCGTGTACTCGAACCGACGCGTTATTACATTGCAACATCAATGATTTGCCAGTATTACCGATCATTTGGCTCTTTTTCTGAAAATCGTTCCTGTATACTTTCGTGGAAATTATGCAATAGATGGAAACACTTGATCCGTTATCTTGCGTTACACGTTGCTGTTTACTTAATGCATCCTGTACACATGAAGGATTAGGGGAGAAAGAAGAAATATCACAAGCTTCACAGACATGCTCTATTTGTAATACCTAAGAGTCCATCGGTAAAGAAATTCATTGAATTCGGCTAACAATAAGAAATTTAACTAGGTAAAGCAGTAATTTATTTATACTAATTTACATGAATTTTATTCTCGTTGAAACGTGTTAAGTATAATTTTGTTAGTACGACAAAAGTAATTCACCTCTGTGTTCCTAGATACGAAAAACTCATGGCAAGCTAGACACGTGCCAGACTCGTCGTTACACTACATGGGATTAAACAGGAACTTTCACGAAGAAGATTAAAATATTCCAAATTTGAACGAAACTGAAATGAGATTATAAATCGAGAGTTGAACCTCTCGCCGATATTAACTTGCAAAAAAGAAGAAAAATGACTCTCACTACTTTCGGTTCCATTTGGAATTTTTTCGAAGAGCTAACCGATCCGATAGCAAGCCCAAATCCAGCAGCCTTCTGTCAATAAACCGTTAACACACTTACGCGAAACGAACGATTCGCCTATTTGAAAAGAGAAAGCCACGGTCTGAAATTTAAAAGCTGCTCGTTTTACTTTTTCTTGTTCGATAAAGTAACACTGAAACTGTTCGAATTTACTAGAACGAAATAGCTCGAGGGGTACCCTGCGAAACAGATGGGTATTAACGTCAGCCTCGATAACGTACTTAAAACTGATGATATTCAGTGTGAGGCAAGTTTAATTAAAATGAAATTATCTGGACTTCTTTAGCGTCTTTTTCCGTTTGATTGTGGGCTGACGAATAATTTGCAGCAACGCAATGTGTTGCTGTACGTGCATGCGTTCTCATGGCCGTGAGGTTATTGGCAGTGCGCGGTCGTTCGCACACTAATTCATTCCAAAGGATGAATAACGTCGACAGTTCGATTATTTTAAATATCGAAGAGCGTATGGCCTTCTTTCTTATTTCAAATCCTCGGTGCTGCTTTTTATTAGGCCGAGGTCTGCACAACCGATGCTCAACCGATGTTGATGTTGTGACCGATGTCCAAATCTCTTTTATCAGGTTGTCAATTTTCCTCTTAGTCGTGATGTTGTTTAATAAAATTAATCGAGGCTGCTCGTGAATATATAAAATTGTGGAATATAATTATACCGTTGCAAAAAGCATGTGTGTAGTCTGTATAAATAATATGGAGTCCTCTGGAGTTTCTGTATAATTTTCCCAAGGTATAAACAATTCTTTATGTTCGATAATTGGTTTAACAAGTATACGAGACAGGTTTTTTGATCTTTTATCTATTTGTTTATTTCGTCCTGCACGTTTCAGCGACAGTTTCATCGCGCTCGATTTAGTTCCTGTTTAGTTTCGAGAAAGAAAGCAGAAGAAAGATGTTAAACGTATCTGTACTAGTCGATACGTGATTTTCAAACCCGTTAGTTCGTACTTACGTGCTGCTAAAAAAAAAATAGTATACTGTTATTCCTTGGATCGCCTAATCGTCTCGCGTTCGAGATGCCTGCACGTTCCTACGCTGTTTTACATTTAAACAGGATTTTATGTGTTGAGAGTGAATGGAGTACTAATTGTAAATTCTGGAGAATAGATCAACCTCCAATAACTATTAATCTTTATATTTCAGAGGATTATTTGGCACGTTGATCAACGTTTAGGATATAAAATTTATATCAAATTAATCTGTTATTTAGCGATTAAGAAATAATTGTTCTAGCGCCTTGTATCCCACGATAAGAAATATTTGAAGAATTATTTTAACTGAAATTACAAGCTCGAAGAAATGAAAAGTTTGAGTCTGATGTTACAGTCTGGAAATTTGAAAATTGATTGTTTCTTGAATATAATTATTCCAGATAAATTGTCAAAGATTGATGAATTAATCGAAAAATTGAATTTCTTTGTGCAGGAACACGATCGTGGTTCGTATTCACGGCGACGATTTGTTGCTCGGAGGATTTGGAACTGTAATGACACATTCGCCACAAATACCTCAAATGGAGATGATGAAGGTCCACATTCCCTTCACCTTCAAGCTCCACGAAAGTTTCAAGAGCACTTATACCGGTGAGTCTATGTCCAAGCTTGCATTCTTCTTTCTCTTTTGCTTTCAGATTTACTCCACCTCTGCTTCTTTACATGATCTATCATGTTTTTTCGAAGAAATTGCACGCTTTGTTCCATCGCATCGACACACAGAGAAGAAAATTTCCTCGCAACGCGTTCACGTTTTGTCAAAGTATACAAATAATCGAATACACGTGACTCTATGGAGCAAAAGTACAAGCTGGATAAAATTTCAAATCAGCTTCGCGTCTTCAATAGAAGAGTGCATTAATATGTAGTTGAAATACATAGCGAAGCTTGATATTTGCAATTCATTTGAATACAAATGTTTTATGTGACTTAAAGAAGCTGCTTCACCCAACATCCATCATTCATTAATCCAGCATCGTTAAGATTCTAATTAGAAACGTCGGAAAAAAAGGGACAAACTCGTTACTGAACGAACAGATCGAAGATCTATCTCGCACAATTGATGTACAAACACTTGGACGTGTTCCGCCTTCGTCTCGTCTAATTTTCGCGGGATTAGTATTCGCCGGCGTTTGAAGGATCGTCAAAATTCACGCGTCGTTCGAAGCGGACCTGGTGGACTCGCTATGCAGAGCTCCGTACTTCTACATCCTCGTTCAAGAATCACGCTGCCCAAATCGATTTTTCTGGAAGGAACATTTCGAGTTTCTCTCTTCCAAGAACATGCACAGTACATTTCGCAAGCCCTGCCGTTGGGTTAATTAACTCGAAAGGAGCAGAACCCTCTTTGTGCTCGACTGGATCAGGCCGAAAGTAGGTTAGAGGCACGCGTAAGAAGAAAAAGAAGAAAAAAGACAACGGCCCTCTACTTCGGCGTCGTGGCCGCTTGTCGTAATTGGTATGCAGGTGTGAAGGCACCCGAAGTTACGAAATGTTACCTTGACCGCTTGGCCAGGTCATCGTGAGTCATTTAACCGGAGGATAATTGATCGTGGACATCGGATCATCTCCCGACTAGACTGCATCGCGTGACGATCTTTTCTTCTTCGAAATCCGACTTTGCTACCTTGTAGATAGCGTCTGTTATTAAATATTTATCGAGCAAACACTTGATTAAGGCGCACAGCGAAAAGGAATAGAAGAGATTGAGTCGTTCGAATAGTAACTAGGCAAGAGCGTTTATTCCATTCATAGAATCTTATATTTTTCTCCATTCTCGTCACGAAACTCCCCTTCACTCGAGTAATTTACGTTCAATTAATCGGCGTGTTATCCATCGATCCCGCGTGCACACGGAGAGTCAACGTGCAAGCAGCCAAGATCTATACACGGTTAAAAACGATCTTCTTCCCCTGTCGTGGTCACGTTCTATTACGCGATCGTTGATTTATGCTCGACGCTCGACGACCCTCGGTAAATTCATTAAACCACGCGTATTCGTGCGATCGCGGGCGTGTTTGTTACGCGCGCAGGGCTAGCTTCTGTATAGCCTTGCGCGGGTGTGCCTTGGATTTTATTCGAACCGTGCCACGGACCATGCCGCCACGATGATACGGAGTACGTGTTCGATTGTTAATGGAAAGTCGATTAATCGGAATGACGACGATCTTCGTGATGCGCTCGTGTTATAATGCACTGAAGAATCGGATAATCTGTGGGATTTTCCCGCATCGTGATAACTGCTACCAGCGACTATCACGAACGTGTCACGTGATTATAACGTTCGTTCAAAGCCTCTGAAAGAACGTTACAATGACTCGTCTCCATTTCGTATTTCCTAAACAGCTGTTCGTTGCTGAGAAAGACGCAAAATCTGAACCCTGACCTAGGAATAGATAATGCAGCCTTGATCCTCGGTGTGAGACGTATCTGCTCTCCTTCGCAATGGAAGCATTATATCCTGCGACAGATATTGTCTATTAGAATTACTATGAATCATTTCGTCATTAGCTTCGAGTGATTAGCGATCTGTGGAAATTCCAAGAATCTTCTTCGAAACGATATAGTCTGATGACCTAGAGATATGTCGAGTATTTTCCTCGTTAATTGCCCGAAGAAAGAAAATCGTTGTTCGTTTTAACGATGAATTTTTTCCGCATCGGGCGACGAAAAAGGGGACTCTGGCAAGGGCAGAGTATTTTCGAATTCCAGGCTCGTAGGCAAAGGTGACCATGTAAAAGTGTGAGGGTCGATCGCGGAGGTATAGTCTCGTTCATCGAGGACATCGTTCACTTGTTGGAATACAGGAATGTTACGTAAGTTACGTGACAATAGGCCAAACAAGTCTTAAACAATACTTTAATCGTGTCCGATCCAGACATCATCGATAAGCTTAACTTTGCTGCTCGATACCTGTTCCTCGTCTATCGGTTTCTTTGGCCGTTTCTCTAGCACTATCTCGTTACGATAAAGCTGTTATACACGTTATTAATCCAGGTTGTTAGCATTGGTAGTATTGGTAAAGCCTGAACGTGACCTTTAACCTGAATAAAAAGTACACGTAAACATTAATTTTACCAAAAGCAGCTACGTGCTTCCAATAACAGAAGAAGGGAACTCTAGGTACAGACCTTTCGATTTCTATGGTATCAAAAATTAACCGAATTTAAATATTATAAATCGTGTGTCTCACGGTATATTAATACATAGTTGGTTTGTTTGAATAAACAGAATATGACTACGATGGAAATTCATTGGAGCCGATAGTTGCCACACAAGACGTAAACAGACATCGTTAATGGCACTTAATGGAGCTCTTCGAGAACCTCTGAAAAATTCCACGGATCTACTACAACCTTTACCTCCAGCCATACCGCTAATCTCTACCCAAGATCTGGATTCTACAATGATGAAACATTTGAATTAATGAGTACTGAATACACAAGACGCCGAGCTATTATCATTACATAAGAAGCATTAATATTACATACCTGAAGGAGAATTTTCGCTAATGGCATCGATTTCCACACGAAGCCACCGAGGCCATTTGCAAACGAACGATGCAGTCGAGAATTCAATAAAAATTCCCAGTACCATGGACAGTCGGGGACACAACTTTTCCCATCAATCCTCCGTCTGTGTTATGCGTGTCAAGTTCACCGACTTGCTCGAAAACTTACTTAACAAGCGCATTACGCGGAGTAGCCGTGGGATGAAAGGGAACGAATCGAAAGCTCATTCACATAGCTTGGCATTTTACCGTGCAAATATCACATCTGCCTGGTTATAGGCGTACGGTAGCCAGTACTAAAGAGCTAAAGAGCTCTCCCTACCATTGTGCAACGCGTAATCGCGATTGGATCGAGAGAGAGAAAAGCTTGTGGTCCAGGTTACGAAAGGTGAGCCGGCCTGTGACATAACTTCGTGAGTCGATTGCAAGATTCCTACCATGAGAGAAATAAGTCTTCGGTGATCGTCGGTTGGAAACGAAGTCTCCCGATACTTCTAAATGGCGTCACTGATTTCGAAACACCCACGCATCATGGTACCATCGTGGTACCACGAGAAAAATTGTTATCACCACGAACGCCGAGTCGCGAATTACACCGTGTTATTAAGTCATACTCGAGTATATTTTTCTCTTAGTTTCTTGTTCTGATGCTCTGACTGGCGGATAAAGCAGGATGTACATTTCATGACTGTAGGAGGTGGGCTCGTTGTACGATACACCATATTATTTGGTAGGTTTGACAAAGTTAAGATTGGTAGACACTCGGTGAATCATCGACCGAGTGAAAATTGAGTTGGAAAGTTTTTTTAATTTTTTAACTTCCTTCCTACGTGGACTCGAGAACCGGTAGTCAACGAATTAGTTATCCCTTGGCACAAGGCGAACGCCAATAAAAGCTATGAAACTGACACGTATCGTCCTGAGTCACCAAGATGTTTCCTAGTGTATTCAGCTTACCTTTTCTTTGTTTCTTGATAAACTTTGGGTGGGATCCTAAGAACCAGTTTTATCTCCTTGCGGATGTGGGAGTTATGTTTAAATTATAGTAACACCGAGCAACCTTATCTCTATTAGGAAAATATACTATATCCTTCAAGCTCAACTCTTTCAGCTCGAATGAAGCTCGTTCAATTTATCTCGTATCACTTTTCATCCTCTCTTTTCTATTCTCTTTTCCATTTTCATCTCTCGTCCCTCAAATTTTTCACTTCTACCAATTTCTTCCTTTTTTCTCTCTCTTTTAAGCCTCCCCTCTCTCGTGTTGTGTACTCGCATAAACAGAGTGAGTCGCTTTCAGGAAAATTTTGCTCGTACATACTATCATCGTATCGTAGTGTCGTTCGTAATGCAACATCCTGTCGAATCATTGCCTTTGTATTACGTAAAATGTCGCCATGGGGGACGTGGATGGAGGAAAAGCGAAGTAGAAAAACGCACTCTGGTGTGTTCTACCATTTTCTTTTTTCTTTTGTTTCCCTCCCTTTTCCTCATTTCGGTCGTCTCTTTTCGTTTTTATCATATACGTGTCCCTGGCCAATTGCACGAAATGAGCTCGACGACTGCAATTACCCTCGCGAGCGAGCTCTCGGTGAGCTCGCCTCCTACTTTCATTCTTGCTCCCATAATGCATAATAGCCGGCTGTATTGTTAGGAAACTGGACTATTCCCCCGCCGTTTCACCGGCAGGAAATAAATTCGTCTTATTTTTTCGCTCGTCCGTTTTTGTTCGTCTGTACCCTGTCGCATTAATCGTTTCGTCGAGTAACCGTAATTGAGTGGCCTCTGAGTTTTCTTCGACCGTGGGATCATGGCACTTGGGTCTCTGAAACGAGACGGTGTCGGTATTCTCGATAACATTTTCTTTTATATGTCTTTTATATTTTTCTCCCTTTTTTAATCGTATGCCAAACGTAGACAAGTCGCGATCACTCTCGTGACAGAAGACTATGAATGGCGCCCTTGAAATTTAAATTACAATCGCGTTGATTCGAGCTATTCTTTTACGACGCGTCTAGTTGCGTGAACAATCGATTTCAATGTGTGATCAAAGCACAGTGAAGCACAGTCTATTTTAAGAAAT